TCAGTCCATTCAAACCCTCACAATGCAGCAAAGTTGGTATATCAATATCCGATTTAAGGATCAATGTAGCAAAATATGTTTAACTTCGATTTATTCATTGTTGCAGCAAAGTTGGTATGTTAAACTTCGGTTTATTGATCAATGCTACAAAATGGGTATGCTAAACTTCGATTTATGGATAAATGTAGTAAAGTTGGTATGTTAAACTTAGATTTATTGATCAGTGCAGCAAAGTTGGTATGTACAACTTTGCATCATTGATTTATCCATTGTTCTCATGCTTATTTAAAACTAAGCCTTTTCTCAATTAGAATGTATTGTAAGTGAGTTTAAATAACCATGTTATCATGTTCAACGATACATTAATAAATCAAAGTTCACAATTATTTGGTTAAAGAAATACAAATATAACATAACACGTCTGTCTTTAAAATTATTATGCATCTGAATATTATCCTTAATTTACAAAATAAGATATAGTCGAACTTTTCTTTAAGCATATATAATATGCATGTTACCAGTTTCTAGGAAGAAACAAAATTCTAAGCACATCACAGTTTACTCGCAAAGGGATTTGCGAATACACATTTGTAAAGATATGTAGTAAAACTGATGAAATCATACTATATTTATACAAGAGTGCACACGCTGAAATGTCTCGCCTACTATACTGACCACTGATTTTATGTTGATAGTCCTACATATAAAGTTTTACTACAAGTATCACATTAACATTTATGATCCAAGAAAATGAGGTCAAGGTCAGATAAACCAAGCCAGAAATACATGTACATCTTTAATACAATCATTCTGTACACAGAATATAGATGACCTGTTGCTTATAGTATAAAAGAAACAGAACAAAACATAAAAATTCTATATTGACCAATGAACCATGAAAATGAAGTCAAGGTCAGATGATTCCTGCCAGACAGACATGTACACCTTAAATTCATTCCATGCATCAAATATTGTTGACCTATTGCTTATAGTATCTAAGAAAAAAAGTAAATCAGGAAAACTGAATATTGACCAATGACCCATGAAAATGTGGTGAAGGTCAGATGATACCTGCCAGACAGACATATACACCTTACAATCATTCCATACACCAAATATATTTGACCTATTGCCTTAAGTTTAAGAAAAACAGACCAACACATAAAAACTTAACATTGAGGAATGAACTGTGAAAATGAGGTCAAGGTCAAATAAAACCTGCCAGACTGACATGTACATTGTAAAATATTTCCATACACCAAATATAGTTGACCTACTACATACAGTATTAAAAAAACAGACAAAAACACAAAAACTTAACATTGAGCAATGAACCGTGAAAATGAGGTCAAGGTCAGATAAAACCTGCCAGTTGGACATGTACACCTTACAATCATTACATACACCAAATAATATAGTAAACCTATTGCTTATAGTATCCGAGATATGGACTTGACCACGAAAACTTAACCTTGTTCACGGATCCATGAAATGAGGTCGAGGTCAAGTGAAAACTGTCTGACAGGCATGAGGACCTTGCAAGGTACGCACATACCAAATATAGTTATCCCATTCCTCATAATAAGAGGGAAATTAACATTACAAAAAATCTGTACTTTTTTTCAAGTAGTCACTGAACCATGAAAATGAGGTCAAAGACAATGGACATATGACAGACGGAAACTATATACAAAGTATGAAGCATCCAGGTCTTTTACTTCTGAAATATTAAGCTTTTAAGAAGTTAGTTAACGCCGCCGCCGCCGTCGACGCCGGATCACAATCCCTATGTCGAGCTTTCTGCGACAAAAGTCGCAGGCTCGACAAAAACTAAATGGACAAATTGAATGTAATCATTTTCTTTTCAAATACGTGAAATAGCCAACGATAATTCAAAAGTAAACCAGAAAACATTTTATTATTACAAAAATATCCACAATAACATACAAAACAAGAAATGATTGTAACAGGATGCTGTTACGAAGTCTCGCAAACAAAGTTCCCATAATTACAGTCATTCCCATGGTCGCAGGACATTGTGCTAAGTCCAGTAAAAATTGGTTTGGTCCAGTAAAGTGCTATGCATTAGTGACCCCTGAGGACTGACCCTATATATCATTCAAATCTTCGTGACATGACAAACAGGAATATATATGGTTGTGGGGTGGGGATCTTGACCATTCACAAGATATTTGAAAATATTCAAATCACAGGACTTGGGGATGACCCCTTGGGTCTTACCCTGTATATCATTCAAATCATCTTGGCATGACAAACCAGAATATATATGGTTTAGGGGTGGGGATTTTCACCATTTACAAGATATTAGAACTTTCTCAAATGGCAAGGGGTGGTGGTGATCCCTGGGGACTGACCCTATATATCATTCTAATCTTCGTGACATGACGAACAGGAATATATTTGGTTGTGGGGTGGGGATCTTGACCATTCACAAGATATTTGAACATATTCAAATCACAGGGGTTGGGGATGACCCCTTGGGTCTTACCCTGTATATCATTCAAATCATCTTGGCATGACAAACCAGAATATATATGGTTTAGGGGTGGGGATTTTCACCATTTACAAGATATTAGAACTTTCTCAAATGGCAAGGGGTGGTGGTGATCCCTAGGAACTGACCCTATATATCATTCTGATCTTCGTGACATGACGAATAGGAATATAAATGGTTTAGGGGTAGGGACGACGACCATTTACAAGATATTAGATCATTGGGGTGGGGGACCCTTGGGGACTGACCCTATATATCATTCGAATCTTTGTGACATGACAAACATGAATATATATGGTTTAGGGGTGGGGATCTCGACCATTTACATGATATTAGAACTTTATAAAATGGCAAGGGGTAGGGGTGACCCCGGGAACTAATCCTTTATTTCATCTAATGTGCTGTATCATGACAAACCAAAATATATATGGTTTAGGGGTGGGGCCTTTACCACTTACAAGATATTAGAACTTTCTCGAATGGCAGGGGTGGGTAATCATTGATATATATATAAGATGGACATCTAAATTGCAATCCATTGGTAGCCGAGAGGTTTCGTTGATGTGTTGATGTCAGTCACACATAACAGACTTAAAGGAGGGGTTCGATTCCCACTGGAGGCATATAAAAATTACAAAAGTTACAGGTAAGTTTTAAAATTAATTCCATTAGTGAACAGAAATCAGTTGGAAAGTTAGACTTCGATTCGTTCATCAATGCAGCAAAATCGGTATGTTCAACTTCGATTCATTGATTCATGCAGCAAAGTTGGAAGGTTACACTTAGATTTATTGATCAACGTAAAACAGTTTGTATGTTAAACTTTTATCTATTAGTCAAATAAGCAAAGTTGGTATGTTTAACTTCGATTCGTTCAATAATGCAGCAAAGTTGGTATGTTCAACTTCGGTTCATTGACTAATGCAGCAAATTTTGTATGTTAAACTTATATCTATTGATCAATGCAACAAAGTTGGTATGTTTAACTTCGATTCGTTCATCAATGTAGCAAAGTCGGTGTGTTCAACTTCGATTAATTGATTCATGCAGCAACTTGGTATGTTACTCTTAGATTTATTGATCAACGCAAAAAAGTTGGTAAGTTAAACTTAGATTTATTGATCATTTTGACTTATTCATAACCGTTCAAACATATTTAAGATGACCATATAGATTGTATTTGAACAAAATAAAAATAACAAATTATATTTAATTTTATGTGAGGTACTAAACTACAATAAAGTACAATGAAACATCTTTAAAACTTCTTTTCTTTTTAAACTTGTACAGAAAACGATTCTTTTTACATTCAACTCTCATGTCATAATTTAAGTTATCACTTTTTTCTATTAAATCTTACTATAGATATAAAACACACAAAAAACGTTTTCGTCATCGATCTTATTTTTGCTCAATTTCAATGAATTTTGAATTGAAAAATATAGAAATCCCAAAAGCTCTCTTTTGGACTTTGTCTCGCTAATTTGCTTAAAGATTTATATTTTAAATGAATATAACAGATACACCGGCCTGTCGTTTAGTATTTCCAAATTCAACTGAATCAAAACATGTAATATAATTTTAAATCGTCATTTTATAATGTTTAGAAATCATTAAAAAAAATAGAAGATGCAAATGGGTGAACCAAAAATCTTAAGTCGGAGATGGACAAACAACATCATAGCCAAACGAGCAACGGAAAGAAAAAAATAAAAAACACTCTTCAAAATCTACAAATAAAACTCACTGTGAAGAACAGCAATATAAATTTCCCCAAAACATGGGGTTTTTGAAATAATAATGAAAAAAATGTTACAAAAAACTGTACAGATTTCTGCTCCTTCATATAACTTGCGAGCCTCTTCCAACGAGAACCATTTGTAACGTTCCGTACTTTATCTGTATTTGCAAAGCAGCATTAATAATCAAAAATGATTTACAGAAGTGATGTGAATAAACAGTAAATAAAAATGCTAAACGATAATGACCTATAATTATTAGAAAAAAGACAGTTAGCAAATTTTGAAGCAACGGCACTTCCGCGCTTCGTGCTAAATGCGGTAATCACTTGTTTGCATTTAGCTTAAAACTCAAAGAAAATCTAAATCAATTACCTTTAAAGTAAACTTTTGACTACAAACAGTGTTTGTCTGTTTTACTTATTATTTCACTCCGACCAAAACTCTTGTTGACGACTTTTCCCTTCATATACTACACTACACTTTCTTTCTAATACATACAACGGATTTTATTTATCAATGAAGCATTCCTTTATTAAACCAGGTTTGCTATCTCAAAAACCGTTCATAAGAAAATAACTTTGTATGCTATTTCATCTCACAAAGAGGTAATTTGTTATGTCCCTGTCTGGGTATACAACAGCTAAAAGCTTATAGACTAAATTGTACAATTTATAAAATATTTTCTAACATGCATTAGCTTGTTTTATGACGAAAGTCCTAACGAGTTTCCACGAAGTAGCCGCTCAGGCTTTTGTTGTTTGCGTCACTGATTTGGATTCTTGTTCTGTTGTGTTCTGTCTCTTCTTAATGATAATAAAGACAATTCCATTTAGAACACCACCAAGATTAGAGAAGGTTGTGACAGCCTGAAATAGCAACTGTGGAACATCCTCGACCAATTGCCATGCTCCATATATTGCCATGGCCCACCATTGAATGAAGAAAGCTGTTACGAACAGCGACATGGTTTTCGCCGCTTTGTGTGCCCCTTTAACAGACGCTGCATTTTCGCCAACGGTATCTTTTAGACGTTTACCTTCTTGGTGAATACGAAAATACGTCAGCCCATAGAACACACTGTTGAGGAACAATACAGCCAGTAATGGAACAGTTGTAAAGAACACACCCATCTGCTTTCCATTCACACCATCAAAATAGCAGCTAGATAATAGAAAAAAAATAACAAAACATAAACAAACTTATATTCTATTTATCAAAATAAAAATAAAAAATAGCATGACGCTTTCCAAAGTAGAGTGCACAGTTTTATGTATGTTTATGATCTTTTGATATCGGCTATGAGGTCAAACGCGTAACAATTACAGAGTATACATGAGATATAACTCATATAAAAGGATTTAATGTAGTGAGACAACAACATAACGCGACAATCGACCAAAAGAAATCCAGGTCTTAAACATTAGACAGATTTCTATTCAATATGTCAATTTTAAATCAATTTAAATAAAATAAAATCTGTGAATTCACTGTGCGTATAACAGCAACGATTAAGCGAGTCAAGATAAATCTGACTTTTAATCAGATTAATTGTTAGTCACCCCTAGTCTAAAAGACATATTACTTAAATAAAAGAGAAACCATAATTGATGTGGTAATTCCTGAATATTCAATTGATGAGATAACCCTTCAAGTAGATACCTATTTGCGCCAAAAATGAAATCATTTGCCCCACAACTTTATTGCGCCAATGCTGCTTCTGCGCCACTTCATTTTGGAAACTATATGTTTCATTTGCGCCAATAAAACAATCATACAATTGCGCCAATTTTATCAATTTATTCATAGTTACTCATATATATCAACTAAATGATTGACTTCCCTACTCCTTTATACATTTAACCATTTACTAACGTCATCTACATTTTTCTTGTATTCTTTTGCAGGACTCAAATTCTGTATTTTCCCCTACTAAGCCTGACCAAGATGGAATGCCGACGTTTTGAAACATGTCTCATACTGTTTTATGCAAAACCTTCAAAATCTAGTTGAATGCTGTTATTGTTCAAGGTCCAGTTAAACTTCTAACAACTTTCATCAAGTAAGGAAAACATTTTCTTGTAACAAGCCCCTGATTTTGACGATAACAAACAAAATACTGATGGAATATAATGTCTATTCTTAAAGCCATGTATAGTATAGAGTTGTTTGAAATATTTTGGACAACTTTTATAAGTACCATCAGCAAATAATTCTTCTGAAACTGTACACAGAAATCTCAAATTGGTCTAGCATCCAAATAAAATTATCCCACTAATATAATTATAGTACATGTTACATGTATAATATAGGTAAAACAATTAACAGGTAAACGTGGCGCAATTTGATTCCATTTATTGGCGCAATTAATACCATCAGAAAAATAGAGAGTGGCGTAATTGATACATCAGAAAAATAGAGAGTGGAGCAATTGATACCTTTTTAAATGGGTAATTAGCGCAAATTGATTCTGGTCGATAAATTTTTATAATATACGTAATTTGAGGCGTATATAGTAGTAATAACATAAATAGTAGCAGTTTTACTGCACCAGATGCGCATTTGGACCTTTAAACCTAAATATTTTAACCTCTATAAATGTATCGTTTTCAATACAAGGGTTTGATATTTTACTTCAAGACCCCAATTTTCAACATTCTGTGTTTTTATTTGAAAATATTTCGCTCAAAACCGTGATTAATTATGTTTTTTTTTTCACTAACTGTAATGGTAAAATTAAGTTCGCTTAATCTAACAAAAGACCGAATTCACAACCTTAAACAGCAGAACATTTAAAAAAATGGTTTTCCTACCTATCATGTGACACTACTTTAAATCATTTTCAATTACATTTCTACTACTAATCTATTTTTAAGGCCAAACGCAAACAACAAGTTTAACCACAAAGGCTTCAATCAGAAAATAAGCATTCCAGAAATAAACTATTTTTCAATGATATGTAGTAAGATTTTTCTTTGTTTAGCTAGGGCCATTTTTGGCACAAGAAATGTGCACATTTAGTTGCAAAATTAAGATAAAGACATCATAAATCTATTGTTTTAATACTAATTCATAATTAGTTTTACAAACATTTCAGCGTTTATGTAATGTGTTGATGAAATCATATTTACGTCTTCAGCCCACTGTTATGACGATATTTTTTTGTAAGTTGCCAAAAATATAATTTTAAAAAGACGCGCGGAAGCAAAGACAAGATTTAAATGTATTTGTAAGTGTCACACATCTCATTTTTCGACTATCAATTTAATGATTTTGTATCTTTATCTTTTAAACAACTTCCGATGTTAGTTATGTACATTTTTTTTTATTTCTCATTCTTGCTTTTGATTTAACTGCTCTAGCATGTGTAGAGTTATAAACTTTAAATATAAAAAAAAATATTTTGCTCGACGAAATCATTTTTGAATTTAATCTTCATTAAGAACGAGTATAATCATTGATTCGCAACATTGGAAGAAAGAAGATGGAAAAGTAAGACTTACAAAAACATCTAAGGTCTACATGGTACCCTGAATATCGTTATGAGTTATTTTTACCAAAGATACAAAACTTATAAACTTTAACTGAAAATTTGAAAAAAATCACTGAAAATTGAATAAAAAAATTTTTCAACTCGTTTTCTTTTAAATTTAATCAATTAATTTGTAAGCTTTTTAAGTAAAAACAAGGCTTATGCGTTATGCATTATTCATTTTGGTTTAGCTACTATGTTAACATATACATATTAATATGTATATCAAATATATTAAATTTTCTTTCAGACGTTAAACTTACAAAGAGCCATTTGGTCCCATCTGATCAAGAGCTATCCCGATAATTCCTCCAACTGTCGGAACTGCAAATATGTATGTTAAAAGTCTCCAGTCATTTTTCCCAAAATTAATCTGCTTGCGAAAAAAGATCAACATAAAGGCGTTGATGGCTACGATGTTGACCATTAAAGTTTGTGCTGTTATAAACACGGCAAGCATGAACCCATAAAAGATACAGATACCTTTTGGATGCGGGTGATCCTTTGTAATAGCAATATGCATGTGATCCATCGTATGAGCAACGTTAAACAGACAGTCGCAAATCGCCATATAAACTACGAATCTTTCGCTTCTTGACCATGAGAAAAATGTTTTGTAGCTCTTTTTCTTGAATGATACTACTATTACACAAATAGCTGATATAAAGCTCAAAAATATACATGTTAATGCTGGGACATGTATAATATAGAACTGGCCATTGTCCAAACCGGCCAGATCCAAACTGTAACCATCTTTGCCGCCCATTGTGTATCTTATGAATGAAGAAATATAACTGTGCAACAGTATCTGGAACAATATGTAGGATATTATCTATGTCTCCATGCCGATATATATACATATGAATATTTACCAATCAATGTAAACCTTCATACCAACGGAAGCCGTAGCCATAGCAAATTAAGTAAATTGAAGTAATCTTGGAACTGGTACACAAGTTCAGGAGTCTATTTACTAGTTCTAATTTTGATTAACAGCATTACGCGTGATTCTAAAATAGATTTTATTTGATGCTCTCGATGCAAATATTTGGAAGGCGGAATGCATACAGTATATAACTAGTCATAGGGAATGGGAGCCAAAACAGTAGAGTCAAAACCGTCTATAGAAGGATATGAACTTTATTTGTATCACATAAAAATCTTAAAAATTCAAACTTTTAATTGAGGTATGAATATGTACTAAACCTATACCAAATAACTATCAGTTTAAAAGAAAAACAAAGTATATGGGGTATCCATCCATGACACAAAATCAGTACATGCACAGTTTGCCAATGATGACTGTTTGACAATGATGTCATGCTACAAACGTAGTCGCCCTATTGCATAGTCCCTCTTGTATATAAAACTTCTTTCAAGAGTGATAAAATTAAGAATTATTTCAAACGCCTCTCGTTATTCTTATTTAGTAGAGTACAGATTATGTATTATGATTTTTCAGTGAATAACATTGCTGTGATTCCAGCTGATTTCGTTTTCTGTTTAGGGTTTGTAGTTTGTTGTTCTCTTTTGGTCGTGGTGCAGTCTTTCTTTCTTCGACTCGTAGTTCTATCAAGATAACACTACTATTGGGAGTACGAGTACCGCTTACGAAGCCTTTTAAAACTTCCGGAGTACAAAATTGATAGGAATATGGTATTTTCTGTTAGAGTTAATTATTGTTTACAGTTTCATTTTAAATGTTCTCTGCTTGTATTCATTCCCCTCTTCTTCTATTTTCCTGTCTGGTTTTTTGCTTGTGTATTGTCGTGTAAAGTAATTAATAATTTTCTTTCTTTAACTGCATTAGAAAGAAAAAAGTAAAATAACAAAAATACCAAACACCAAGGAAAATTCAAAACGGAAAGTCCTTTATCAAATGCAAATCAAAAGCTCAAACACATCAAACAAATAGAAAACAATAAAGTGTACTTATTGAAAAAATATATATGCTCTATCCTTATATCATTAGGTTTGTCGTCTTCTATCTCTTATGTATCCTCTTTTCAATATGAATATAATGAGACAAAGAGTACACATCAATCCATGTACATCGTCTACAAATGCCTACTTTAAAAATATTCAACTTGGGTACTTCCAATATTGAGGACGAACAATTTACCAAATAATTTGATTAAAGGCCAGTGACATTAACTGCTCTTTCAATTGCTTGGTAGCCATACTTTGGTTTCAGGCTAAAATGGCTGAATAATAATTGATTAGTTGCTACTGGGCAATACTGTTTCACTGTTTTCATGACATAATTTTGCATTTCTTGCATTTTATTTGCTACTTTAGTATCTCCCCCTTTTTTAATGCGGTATTGACAATAACGTGCTTATTTTTTTCAGTTTCCTTTTTATAATACCTTTAAAAGAGAGGTGGGAGATACAAATGTACTAAAGAAATATTCAAAGTCATAAATCGAAAACGAACTGAAAATTAATGAATAATTCGGTAGGTCAAATTTGATTATTTATTATCATTTGCTTTCGTATATTCGTCCTGCTTATTTTCGGACCAGTCTTTTTATAACAAATTATTGTAATCCGCCAAAAATAAAAAAAAGTTGCTCCCTAAAATGTTTATTTTGGTTTGAAATGTTTTATAAGATGCAACTGTAAATTCATTAACATGTTATTTTTTCACAAATGTGACCAAATTTGCTATAGTCTTACCAGCAAGTGTATTTTATCACAGTACAGGGAAATTTGGTATTATAACCGAATGATCATTTTATCAATCTCTGATAGTATTTTGATATTTATCCGTTTTCCAGTGTATTTTTTGCCGTACCGAATCGTTGTATCTAGCCATTCGAAAGGGGGTTCCAACCCCCCGGAACACCATGAAACGTTCACATAATAAAAAAAAAAATAACAGAAAAACAAAAAATCGAAAAGGGGGGGTGGGGAGTCAACCCCTGGAATATCCCCTGGATCTGCCAATGGTATCGGTTAGAATAACATATAAGGATTATTTTTTGGGAAAAAATACGTGTACTATTGTCTGTGTTTTATGTACATGGAATTTTATTGACTTTGCACGGGGAGAAACTGGAAATAAAGTTAGTAATGAAGGAGGACCACACATTCGTTGCATACAAATTTTACAATCGCTTGCATGAGTTTAGGTAAAGTTATTTTGAACGATTATCATAACTTTAATAGGATCGATACATTAGGGATAGAGCATATCTATACTATTAAATGATCACTATACAAATCCTTGCTCTGTATAATGTATATCAATCAGTGACCGCCGTGGATAGTAAACTTTGAATTGATAGTAAATAGCAAATGCACTTTATTCATAGTATATGTATGATCATAGTATACAGAAAAACGCGAAAATAATTGAAATTAACAGAAAACAAAAAATTAACGGACTTTGGAAAAAAGGGGGAGGGCTAAAAAAAATTGATCTGTCCCCAAGTACCTGTGACTTTTGATGCCTTTCCTGAAATACTCCAGTCATAAAATCAGTTACAAAATTCATCCTACAACAAAAGGGGGGAGCAAGGGGTTTAACTGTTATGCTGTTATGGGGTAATTTAATTCTTTGTTATCTGTTATTCTGAAAATATATTTGCTGTTAGCTGTTATTGTCTTATTCATTGTTAGCTGTTATAGGACCATTATTTTTATTGTTATCTGTTATTGTGAGATTGTATTTGCTGTTAACTGTTATTGAAAATTGGAATGTTAGCATTTTGACAGCCAATCTTAAGTAGAAATTGAAGATAATTGAACATTGTGACTTAGATAGAGAGTTGTCTCATTGCCCGTGGCACTCATACCACATCTACTTATATCTATTGTGGGTCTTTCCACTGGTGATATGGAGGTCACGTATTTGCAGAAGATTCCAGTACATCACATAAACATATTAAAAACAGTCGGGTCCAGGACCATTCCAGTATACATTATTATTATTATTCTTTGTAATAAATTCCATTGTCAGTGAACATGTTTTTAGATGTATAATTTTGTACAAATTATAATTTGTACAAAAAATGTGTACAAATTATATTTGTATTTTGACTTTGTACACATTTTTCTTACAAATTATAATTTGTACAAATTTGACTAAAATTCACTTATAACTTTTACAATAACTTATCGTATGGATTTTGTTATAAAAAAAAGCATTGGTACACCGTATAGAATTTTAATTCAATGAACACATAATAAACCTTATGTTGTACTGTTACACCACTGTCCAAGGTTAGGGGAGGGTTGGGCGCCAACTAACATGTTTAACCCCGCCACTCTCTGTATGTACCTGTTCAAAGTCAGGAGCCTGTAATTCAGTAGTTGTTATTTGTTGATAAGTTTTTCGTTCATTATTTTGTAAATAAATTAGGCTATTAGCTTTCTCGTTTGAATTGTTTATCGTATGTAATTTCAAGGCCTTTTATATCTGACTATGCGGTATGGGTTTGCTCATAGTCGAAGGCGGTATGATGAGCTATAGTTGTTAATTTCTGTGTCTTTTTGTCTCTTTTGAAGAGTTGTCTCATTGGCAATCATACCACATCTCCTTTTATACTTATTTACAAAATACAAAAATAATTAGGTATCATTTGTTTGAGCATGTGAGTGAAATATTGCCTTTGGGAATTACACAACATCTTTTGCTTTTAGCATTTACATTTAGAAGTGCTACTCCTCCTCTTTGTATTTACATGAAAGAGAGCCCTGACCACCAGTTTTTTAAAAGCTTTTTAACTGCTTCACATAGTGAAAGTTGAAGCTCAGAAACTGTTGCTGCAAATAAAGATGCGTCTTTAACAGCTTCAATTTAATTTCTCAACAAAATATCCTTTTAAAAATCCAACAGCTGTTCCAATGCCGTACCCAAATTCTCCATATTCCATAATTTCACAGTAGATGCATGATTGGTGTTCACTTGGTGTCATCCAAATTGTCACTCGGACCAATTTCTATTCTGCTATCAGAATAGTCACTTGAGCCAATTTCTGTTATATTATCATAATTAACTGTATGCATTACATTTCCTGTCTCCATCTGGGTATTTTTTGTTTTATAACTACATGAACTAAGGTTTATTATGCGGTCATTGAATAAAAATTCTACGGTGTGCATCAATGTTTTTTTCTATAACAAAATCCCCACGAGAAAAAAAAGTTCTAAATATCAAATTAATATAAGGTGTCACTGGCTTCATTTTCTTGAAAAATTAAAAAAAAAAAAAGAAAACCACAAAAATTTATCTATCAAATGCTCTTGATTTTTAAATATTCCTTAAACAAAAACAGAAACTAGTAATTTTGTTCAGTTTGAAGTGAATTTAAGTAGAAATTTGTACATGGATTTTTTTGTACAAATTACAATTTGTATTTTTACAAATTACAATTGTACAAAGTAAAATTAAAAATTATAATTTGTACATTTTTTTGTTACAAATCACAATTTGCACAAAATCAAAACTTGTACACAATATATATAAAAGGTGTTTCTGTTAAGGTCGTATGGACCTAGGCCTATCCTCATCAGGTATCCCTAGCCATATGTTTTCCTTTTTTGTAATATTAAGAATTGTTCGAATTTGAATTTTACATATATATGGGGATAATGTTCCTTGTACCCCCATGCGTACATGTATATTAAATTCAAATCAATTATTAAAATAACAAAAAGGAAAACATATGGCCAAGGAAACCTGATGAGGATCATAATTAAAATGAATATATATCATATGTCTCTGTTAAGGCGTAGCTAGGTCCATACAACCAGTTATATA